TTGAAATGGGTTTTGTTTTGTTTTGTTTGTTTGTTTGTTTCTGAGACAAGATCTTGCTGTATGGCCCAGGCTGTCCTCAATCTTCCAGTCTATAATCCTCCTTAGTGCTGGGTGCATCACCATGCCTGAGTTACACATTAGTATTTTTAGCCAAGGGCTGGTTAGATAGCTCAGTGAGTAACAGTGCTTGTTACATTAGCCTGGTGGCCTGAATTAAGTCCCCAGCATCATGTCATAGTGGAAGGGGAAAACTGACTCCACATACATTTTCTAGCCTCCACAGATGTTCGATGATGGGTCATGCACCAACACACATCATACACACATCCAGTAATTTAAAAACAAGGGTCTTGCCAGGCAGTGATGGTGCCTACCTTTAATTCTGGATCTCTCAGTTGGAGGCCAGCTCAGACTACAGAGTGAGTTCCAGGACAGTTAAGGCCACACAGAAACCCTGTCTTGGAAACCAAAACAAACAAAATAAGCAAGGGTTTTAAAAGAGATGGCTCAGTGGTTAATCAGACTTAACTGCTTTTGCAGAAGACCAGGGTTAGTTCCCAGTACCCACATGGCAACTCACAATCTTCTCTAACTCCAGTTCAGGGATCCAGTGCCCTCTTCTGGCCTTTGCTAACACCAGGCATACAGCTATTACATATATATGTAAGCCAGTGGTTCTCAACCTCCTGATGCTCTAACCCTTTAATACAGTTCCTCATGTTGTGGGGACTCCCACCCCACTGTAAAATTATTTTCATTGCTATTTCATAACTAGTTTTGCTGCTGCTGTGAATCATAATGTAAATATTTATGTTTCCCAGTGGTCTTAGGACCTGTGAAAGGGTCAAGCAACCCACAGGTTGAGAACCACTGATGTAGGCAAACATAAAAATAAACCTTTAAATAATAAGTAAAATAAATAAATTTGTATAGTCAGGAGTGGGTGGTGGGACATACCTATAATCGCAGCATTTAGGAGCCTAGACTACAGAACGACAGATCCTCCAAATAAATAACAAATTCCTTTAGCTTCTGGAATGCACCTATAATCCCAGTACTTAGAAGGATTAGAAACCTGAAACCAACCTCAGCTAAAGTGAGTTTGGGCCCAGTGAAGAGGCTCATTGAGAAAAGGCTGTGTCAGCTAAACTTGATGACTTGAGTTTGATTTGCAGAGTCCACATGGTAGAAGAAGAAACCTGGACCTTGTATTTGAGTGCCACTGCTCCCCCTTTAATACATAAAGTTTTTTAAAAATAGTGTTTGAGGGCAGTCTTTCTTACATGAAATCCTGTCTCTTAATACCAGAATAAATTGTGTATTAATTACAAAGTATTCTGTCTTGGATAATTAGGTTGTATCTTCATTAGTAATGTTATAGTGAACATTCTGGTCAATAAATGTTTATGTGCGACTCTTATTTCTATAGGATGAATGCCTAGAAGTGGAATTACTAGGTAAAGTATATAAACATTTTAAAAACTCTTGTTATATGTTACCAGTTGTCCTGATCAAAAACTGAAATTAATTTTTCATTGTCATTGATATTGATAGATAAATTTAATTGTCTTATTTTAATTAGTAAGGTTAAATTTTACAATTCATTGATTATTTATTTTTCTTTTGGGGGACAAGGTTTCTCTTTGTAGTCCTGGCTGTCCTGGAACTCATAGAGGTCTGCCTGGTTCTCCCTCCTGAGTGCTGGGATTAAAGTCATGTACCACCACTGCCTGGTTTAAATATTACTTCTTAGGATCATCTAATATCTAGCCCATATTCCAATTTTCACAAGTGTTCCAGTGTAGCTTGAGGGAGAATCTGATGAAGGTTCACATCTTTATTTATTATCTCAATCTCTTTTAATGTAAGTCTCTTTTTTCAGAGGTAGTTCCACGTTCTAAATTTTGTCTTTTTTTTTTTTAATGAGTTTTATGTTTTACCTGCAAGCATGTCTGTGTGAAGATGTCGGGTCCCCTGGAACTGGAGTTACAGACAGCTGTGAGCTGCCATGTGGGTACTGGGAACTGAACTGGGTCCTCTGGAAGAACAGTTAGTGCTCCTAACCACTGAGCCATCTCTCCAGCCCCTGATTGGTTCTTTAGTACCATTTAGTTTGATTTTCATTTTCTATATTTCTGTAGACTAAAAGCAAAATTAGATTCTGATTAAGCATTTTAGGCACAGCTAGTTTAGAGGGCTGTTAGGAATGTTTATGTTGTGTAACGTTGGAGGCATATGTGACACAGTGACAGACCGTTGAACTAATGTTGTTAACCAAGTTTGTTAAGATATTAATGGACATAACTTTCCTTTGCAAGGTAAATTTTTACCATCTAAATACTGTCATTTATGGGGTGATGCCTTAGTACCATATCCTGTTCCCCAGCAACTAGCTTTACCTAGTGGTTTGAGCATTCATTGGTGATCTTCATCTGAATTATCTGTTACACTAGGATGTAGAAAGTGGCCCCTCCACCTCTATATAATCTTTATTCTTTTTTAGAGTGTGTTTAATGTATTGACAGTTTTATGCATGTATGTAATCATATCCACCTACACCTCCCTCCTTTATGTATGATTACTTTCCTTGTGTGTATGTTTGTGCATTCTGTGTGTCTGGTACACTTGGAAGCCAGAAGATATGGATCCCTTGGAACTGGAGTTACAGACAGTTGTGAGCTACCATATGGGTGCTGGGAGTTGAACCTAGGTCTTCTACAAGAGCAGCAGTTGTTCTTAACTGCGGAGCCATCTTTCTAGCCCTAGCTCCTATTATTTTTGATGCTCAGTTTATCTCAAATTTGACTATTGGGAGTTCCTTCAAGCTGGCTTCTATTCTCATACAATCATTAATCTTTATTTTTTTCATTACTGTTTAATAGCATAAAATTTACTATATTAGCCTGCTATATTAACCCATTTATAAGTGTCATGTGAGTCTCCATTTTTTTAGATTTATTCATTTATGTGTATGAATGCTCTATGTATATCTATGCCAGAAGAGGGTATCGGATCCCACTATAGATGGTTGTGAGCCATCATGTGGTTGCTGAGACTTGAACTCAGGACCTCTGAAAGGGCAGCCAGTGCTCTTTAACTGCTAAGCCATCTTTCCAGCTCCTCTCCAGAACTTTCTCATATTCCAAATGTGAAACTCTGTACCTGTCAATAAGCAGCTCCCTTTCCCTGCATACTCCAGTCCCTGGTCAGTACCATTCTGTTTTCTGTTATTATGAAATTTGCCTACTTTCGATTGATGTAAACATGCAGACTTTGTTTTCTTACTATTATGGCATACAACAGACAACCTTTAGCTTTTCAAGACAGGGTTTCTCTGTGTAACAGTCCTGGCTGTCTTAAAATCACTCTGTAATCAGACTGGGCTTGAACTCACTGAGAACCGCCTGCTTCTGCATCCCAAGTGCTGGGATTAAAGGCATTTGCCATCACTGCCCGACTAACAGACACCCTTTTTAACATGTTCTGTTGTGTATATGTACAGTTAGTTGTTCCGGTTGATGTAAATAGTGCTACTGTGAACATGGGTCTTTTAGTACCTCCTTTAGAGTAAAAAATGAGTAGTCCTCATTTTTATAGTCTAAGATGGGTTCTTGCTGGGTGGTGGTGACACAGTCTTCAATCCCAGCACTTGGGAGACACAGGCAGGTGATTCTCAGTGAGTTCCAAGACAGCCAAGGCTACACAGAGAAGTCTTGTGTAGGGGAGATGGGAGTCTCACTCTGTAACCCAGACTGGCTTGAAACACACTATATAGCCTAGGCCAGCCTCAATTTTGTGTTTATCCTCCTAACCTTAGCCTCCTGAACGATTGGATTACAAATATGAGCCACCATGCTTAGCTCTTTGTGATACATATCTAAAGGTAGATTAAACGGTATTTTATTTTTATGTTTTGAAATCTCTATCATTTGTCTAATATTTGTTGTTTCTAGCTTTTCGTTTTTAAAAATGATTTATTTCTATTTCATGTGCATTCATGTTTTGCCTGCATGTATATCTGTGTGAAGTTGTTGGGTTCCCTAAAACTGGAATTACAGGGTAGTTATGAGCTGCCACGTGGGAGCTGAGAATTGAACCTGAAGTCCTCTGGAAGAGCAGCCAATGCTCTTCACCACTGAGCCACTTCTCCAGCCCCCAGATACTTAAATTTTAGAATCAGCCTATCAACTTATTTATAGAGCCTCCTGGGATTTTATTAAATTGCATTGGATTTGTAGAAATTGGGTAAAATGTAGCAAGAATGAATATCTTGACTATTTTGATCTTTAATTCAGCAGTATTTTATAGCGTCCAGTATCTTCAAGCTTTTATGTAGCCCAGACTGGCCTTGAACGTTTGTTTTCGAGACAGGGTTTCTCTGTGTAGCCCTGGCTGTCCTGGAACTTGCTCTGTAGACCAGGTTGAACTCCAATTCACAGAGGTCCACCTGTCTCTGCCTCCTGATTGCTGGGATTAAAGGTGTGTGCCAACAGCTGGCCTTGAACTTCCCATTCTCCTGCTTTAGTCTTCTAAGTATTAATATTACAGGTTTGAGCCTTCATGTATAGCTGTTTATAGCTTTTGATATACATGATTACACATCTTCGGAATCTGAGTATTTTATATGGTGAAGCTTTTGTCAGAAATATATTTCAGAATTTCAGTACCTGTCTAGATATGATAGCACACAAGTGTAATGATTTGAGACCAGTCTGAACTACATGTGATCCTGCTTCAAAAACATCCTCTACGTAGATACAAAGGGTATCTGTTCTGTGGTGTTATTTAAAAATTCAGTTGATTCTTATATATTAATCAAAACTCACTTGCTAGGTTTTTAGATTGATTTCAACAAGGACCTGTATGTGGTTAATCCTAGCACTTGGGAGGCAGAGGCAGATGGATCTACATAGTGAGTTCCCAGATAGCCAGGGCTATGTAAAATGACCCTGTCTCAAAAATAACAATAATAAAAGAAAAATTTTCTTTCCTTTCTTCAGTATGTTTTTATGTGTGTATCTGTGCAAAGACCAGAGGAACACTGCTGATACCCTTCTCTATCATACTCTGCCTTTCCTTGATCGTACTTGGGTCTCTCACCAAACTTCAAGACCCCAGGTTAGGTGAGTCTAGCTGAACAAGCTCTCAAGATCCTAGATTCATCTCTTCCTGCCTCCAGCTCAGGGTTTGTAGGCATGTGTAACCACACACACATACACACTGTTTTTGTTTTTCAAGACAGGGTTTCTCTTCATAGCCCTGGCTGTCCTGGATTGCTTCCCAGGTGCTGGCATTAAAGGGATGTACCATCACAACTGATCCCAACTTAGCTGCTGGGGATTCAAACTCAGGTCCTCTTTTCCCCGCCCTTCAGCTGGGGGGTTTTTGTTTGTTTTTTTTGGTTTTATGTTTGTTTGTTTGTTTGTTTTTGAGATAGGGTCTTAACTATATTACTTATGCTTTTCTGGAACTATGGAGACCAGGCTTATCTGTCTGCCTATGTATGCCTCTGGAGTGCATGTGCCACCATGCCTAGGCTATTCATTAGCTATTATCAGGTCTATACAGATAGCTATGTTGTTAGCAAATATATTTTTACTTGTTTTTTGTTGTTTGCTTGTTTTTTTTATTAAAGATTTATTTATTATGAATACAACATCTTGCCTCCATGTATCAGAAGAGGGCACCAGATCTCATTATAGATGGTTGTGAGCCACCATGTGGTTGCTGGGAATTGAACTCAGGACTTCTGTAAGAGCAGCCAGTGTTCTTAACCTCTGAGCCATCGCTCCAATCCCTGTTTGCTTTTTTTGTTTGTTTGTTTTTTTGCTTTTAGTTTCTCTGTGTAATCTTGGCTGTCCTGGAACTCACTCTGTAGACCAGGCTGGCCTTGATCTCAGTGATCCACCTGCCTCTGCCTCCCAAGTGCTGGGGTTAAAGGCATGCACTCAACATGTATTTGGAGATGACCTGAACTGCTGATCCTCCTCTGCATCCATCTATAAGCATATGTGATATATTGATTCATTTATTAATGTAAATTTAATATATTTTGGCTTCTATTATTATAGGTCTTGTAAACTTTGTTAAGTTCACTCATAACTATTTAATGCTTGTTTATGCTGTGTTAAATTGTATTTAAATTTTTTCAATATCTAGTTGGTCATTGCTAGAAGATAGAAATACTGATTTTTTTTATATTTTGGACTGTGTCATAAATTATGCTGAATTTTCCTGTTTTGTGAACTTCTTAACAGATATTTTAGAATTTGCTGTTATATACTATCTATAAATAAAGACAGTTGATTTCTTTTCTATTTATAAGATTTTTATTTCTCTTGCCTTACTGTACTGCCTGTGGCCCTGAGCACATTAAATATAATATAGGTTTATCATAGATGATATATGTTTATCATAGATGCTCTAATTAGGTTAGGGAAATTCTCTCTGATTATGTGATAATTTTTATCATGAACAACTAGCAAACTCGGTTAAATTCATTTTCTTATAGTATTTATAAATACCCTAATAGTATTTTTCCTTTATTCTGTATTAGGTTACCTTACCTTGATTGATAGATTGACTTTTGTGGTCCTAGAAACTCAATCCAAGGACTTGTACATGATAGGCAAAATCCCCAGCCTCTGTACTTTAGGCCAATGTGCTCAACTTTTTTAGTCTTAAATCACCTTTACTTAGGTTCCAGGACAGCTTCCAAAGCAGCACAGAGAAACCCTGTCTCGAAAAAGCAAAAAAAACAAAACAAAACAAAAAAAAAAACACCTTTACTTAGTTTGCTAATTTTCTTTTTAAAGGACTGTTAAAATTGTGTGTGTGTCAGAGAGAGAGAGAGAGAGGAATGTTTGACATGGCATGTTTGTGGAGTCAGAACAACTTTGTAGAATCAGTTCTGTGGGTTCTAGGACTTGAATTCATGTCATTAGACTTGTATAAGCAAGCACCTTTATCTGCTCAGCCATCCTGCTTTTAAAAGACTTTTTAGCTGAGTGGTGGTGGTACATTTCTTTAATCCCAGTACTCAGGAGGCAAAACCAGGTAGATTTCTGAGTTTGAAAACAGCAGACAACCAGGGCTACACAGAAAAACCCTATTTATTTACTTATTTATTATAAATAAACTTATGATACCTTTTCATTTTTAATTAAACTGTTATGTAAAGGGAAACCTTTTTCTTGAGAGAAGCCTTCCCGCCAGCCTGGTTCTAAAGCCACATCAATCCCAAATAAACACACAGGAGGCTATATTAATTATGAAGCTGTTGGCCTTGCTTGTTTCTTACTGGCTAGCTCTGACTTAAGTAATTACCCCATAATTAATACTTAGTTAATCTAAGTATTTCTCTTACTGGAGAATACTTCCGGGCTTCCTACCCCATGGCATTACATCTTGACTCTCTGTGTTTCTCCTTCCCAGAGTCTTCCTGGACTCCTAGTCCCACCTATCTTGTTTCTCTATTGGCCAACAGTGCTTTATTGACATATACACAGGGCTTCCCCAACACTGTTAGAAGCAGTTTACCATAAATACCCACTCTTGAGAGTGTGTCTGTGTCTGTCTGAGGATTGAACCCTAGGCTCTCCCATGTACTAAGCACTCACTGTATCATCAAGCCATAACTGAAGTGAGTAAAAGTACTTTGTAGTTTTTTTTTTTTTTTAATTTTGGTCAGTTAAATGAGAACAGTAGTCTTGTGTTTCTTTAATTCTTTAATATTTATGCTTTGTGCATGTTTGCATGTGTAGGTCTCAGCAGGATCCCAGATGCTCATTGGACAGTGGCTTTAGCCATTTAGTGAACTCCAGGTTCAGTGAGAGATTTTAACTAAAAAAAATAAGTCATAGCCTTGCGGTGGTAGTGCACACCTTTAATCCCAGCACTTGGGAGGCAGAGACAGGCGATCTCTGTGAGTTCCAGGCCAGCCTGGTCTACAGAGTGAGTTCCAGGACAGGCTCCAAAGCTACAGAGAAGCCCTGTCTCAAAAAATAAAAAATAGAGCCGGGCGTTGGTGGCGCACGCCTTTAATCCCAGCACTCGGGAGGCAGAGGCAGGCAGATCTCTGTGAGTTCGAGACCAGCCTGGACTACCAAGCGAGTTCCAGGATAGCCTCCAAAGCCACAGAGAAACCCTGTCTCAAAAAACCATAAATAAATAAATAAATAAATAAATAAATAAATAAATGGTACTACCCACTACCCAGTATTATCTTCTGGCCTCCATAGATACCCAAAAGAATTTCCTGAGGTTCAGGGAGAGGATAATAATAAAGAACCACGAAGTCAAGCTCTCTTGCCTTTAAAGACACCCTCAGAAATAAGTCATTGTTTCCTCTTCAGATTGTCTTTTGTCTGTCATCATGATCAAAGAGTGCTTCTGCTACTCTATTAACTATCTGAATTGCCTACTGTCCTACCCTGTCACTACTAAATCTCACATTTTTTAGGACAATATCAAATTGATTCAGTTAATAGCCTGTTAGTGTACACCGTGTATGTGCCTGGTGATAGCATATGCCAGAAGAGGACATTGGATCGTCTGGAACTGAAGTTACAGATGCCTCTAGGCTACCATGTAGGTGCCAGGAACCCAGGTCCTCTGCAAGAGCAGCCAGTGCCTTTGCAGCCCCACTTTTCAGTTATTAAGGTCATTTATTAGATGGCATTTTCCCCAATATAATCTTCATATTTGTAAGTTAAGGTTTACATTAGTGATTGAAATACTGAAGTGTAAAGCCCCCCCGCCAGTTTTTACTGTTAGGTAAATTTCACCACCTTTTAGCCAGAACTTAAAAATAAAATCATGATACTGTTGGTCCAAGAAAGCCCATCTGTTAGAGACTATGAAGAGAAGGGATATTTAAATGTTCTAGTTCTTGTTAGCATCTCTAACTTTGGAGGAAGAGGTTGAAGTTATGAACTGAAAGAAGGTTTTTGGATTATTAGCCTCACCAGGGTTTGAATCCTGGCTTACCAGTCAAGATACTAGATGATAGCTGAGTGTCTTATCCAACTTCAGTTTTCTTGTGAATAAAAAAAAAAATCATGACTTTTGTCTCTTAGCGATTGTTAGAATTCAATGATTTGTGTAAAACATTTAACAAGGAACCTGGAACATAAATGTTAGCTGCCATAGTCTCCAGATTATTAAGTCTTATCAATAATAAAGATTACTCTTAGGAACAAGTTCGTCCTCCCTCCCTCTCCCTTCTTTCCTTCCTTCTTACTTGGTTTTTCTTTTTTTTTTTTTTTTCTTTTTTTTTTTGGTTTTTCGAGACAGGGTTTCTCTGTGGCTTTGGAGGCTGTCCTGGAACTTGCTTGGTAGTCCAGGCTTACTTGGTTTTTCAAGAAAGGGATTTTCAGTATAGGCCTGGCTGTCCCAGAACTCACTCTGTGAACCAGGCTGGCCTCAAACTCAGAGATCTGCCTGCCTCTGCCTTCTGAGCGCTGGCACTAAAGGTGTGCACCACCACCTCCTACTAGGAATACGTTTTTAGTGCTAATAAGAATTAACATACCTTATTGCATCAGCTGAAGCAAAAGTATTGAGCCCTCTTTACTCAGTGCTGTATTAGGTACAACCTGGATGTACTGGATATGTAAAATAGGATTGTTGCTTGCTTTTTTGTTGTTGTTGTTGTTTTGTTTTTTGAGACAGGGTTTCTCTGTATTGTTTTGAAGGCTGTCCTGGAACTCACTCTGTAGACCAGGCTCTCCTCCAACTCACAGAGATCCACCTGCCTTTGCCTCCTGAGTGCTGGGATTAAAGACATGGGCCACCACCGACCGGCCTTAGACAAATTACTTAACAATTCTGTGCCTTGATTTCTGTTTTCTAAGAGTTTTTGTCATATTACCAGGCAGGCCTAAAACATCTGGGTTCAAGTGATTCTTCTGCATCCGCTTCTCCAATAGCTTCCCCGCTGGGCATTGTGATGTCTTACAAAACAACGGTAGGGGGCATGGTTCAGATCCTGTGTCTTGTTACATAGTCCTGGCAGTCCTGAAACTCACTACATAAACCAGACTGAACTGGAACTCATAAAGCTCTACTTACCTCTGCCTTCCAAATGCTGGGATTAAAGGCAAGTGCCACCACACCCACCTTG